ATCCTGGTCTGGTTACCTTCCCACCAGGCTTGTATTGTCAAACTTTATTGCAACATACACTCACCGGCCACTTTATAATGCACACCTTACTAGCACCGGTTTGGACCCTTTTTTTTTCCTTCAGAGCTGCCTTCATTCTTTGTGGCATAGATTCAACAAGGTGATATTCTGCATACCTTGGGTGTAACGAGTGGTTATTTGAGTTACTCTTGTCTTTCTATCATCTGGAACCAGTGTCAGGAATGGACTTGCCAATGCTGGTGGGACTCACCTGCCTTGTGGGCTGCAGTACCAAGGCTGGCCAGCGGGTGCTCTCAGCAGCCAGAATCTCACTCCTGCAATCAGGCCATCACCTGAGGCTGATTGCAGGAGGTGTATTTAAGCAGGACCAGGCCTGTGATCAGTGCCTTGGTGTATGTTTTCCATGAGCCCCTGTACCTTGTATCCTGTGTTCCTGTTCTGCCTATCTGATTTGTTGCTGACCCTGCCTGATCCTGACCTCTGCTGACTTCTCCTGCTTGATCCCTGGCTCATTTGACTACCTCTCCTGGACATCCCTAATCTGATCTGAACTCCTGTTACCGACCCTGGCGAGTGACCCGACTACTCTTCTGCCTGCTGCCTAGTACCACGCTTACCTGCTGTTACTGACCCGGCCCATCTGACCACGCTAATTACTCTGCCATCCATCCATCTTGCACAGATCCAGCCATCCCGGCTCACACCTTCTGCCTCTTCACAGCTCTGCCTCTTCACAGATCAGGCTCTCTACCTGCATATACCTCTGGCGGTACCCTCTACCACGAGCAGGTGTACTCAGGGGGCCGCGACCTGGTTCCTGTCTGCTCCAAGTCCATCCCCACCATCAGGGTCCCTGGTGAATAAGCAGACTGGGACTTAGACTTCGCGCCCTGGGGAATCCTGTCCTGAGGACTGCTAGAGGTACCACCAGACGGTTGTTAACCATACGGCCGACCTGACCATTCCACCTCTCCAGCCCTGACTACGCCTGTGTTCCTGCGCAAACTAATATAAGTGGAAGGTTGGTGTGTTTACTGTGCGTTTTTATATATTTGGGTGGCTAATAATAAATTATATTGTTGTTGTATCATTCCTGAAGCCTGTTACTTCCTTGTGTCAGTCCACACATTTCTGGTCACACCCGGGATCCCTGACAACCAGTCTGTCCATTCTCCTATAACCTCAACAAGGCATTTTCCTCCACACAACTGCCACTCACTGGATATTTTCTCTTTTTTGGACCATTCTCTGCAAAACCCTAGAGATGGTTGTGCCTGAAAATCCCAGTAGATCAGCAGTTTTTGAAATTCTCAGACCAGCCCATCTGGGCACCAACAACCATGCCAACCAAGTCACTTAAATCCCCATTCTTCCCCATCTGATGCTCGGTTTGAATTTCAGCAAGTTTTCTTCACCATGTCTAGATGCCTAAATGCATTGAGCTGCTGCCATGTGATTGGCTGTTTAGCAATTTGTGTTATCAAACCATTGAACAGGTGGACCTCATAAAGCGGACCATCCGGTGAATGTACTGTATATATGTCAAGGTCCTACCTTTTCCCTGAGGTTATGTTACTCCATGTGCTGGCGTCCATCTTGGATTCTGCTGTGCATGATGGGAGTCCTTTTTATGCTTTCAGGTCTATGAGGTCCACCCCCCAGAGGGGCGTGGCTGATGACATATAAGCCTGTGGCCCGCACATGCTCTTTGCACTTGTGTCTTGTGTCTTTGTGTTACTATTACTCTGTTCTGACTCTCGTGACTCTCCTGGTATTCTGACTCGGCTTGTGACTTGACTATTCTTTGTATTCTCCTTTGATCTGACCCTCTGTTGCTGAACCCGGCTTGTGACCTGTGATTCTCGTCTGCTGTCCTGTACTGTTTTGTCCTGTTGTTGTTGACCCCGGCTTGTCTGACTACTCTTTTGTTTCTTCCACCAGCTACACGCCATTGGCGGCGGCCATTACCGCAACTGAGGTGTCTCGGGGGCCGCGACCTGGTTCCTGGCTGCGTCAAGTCCATCCCCACCATCAGGGGCCCTGGTGAAGGGCAGCCTGGGACTTAGACTCCGCGCCCTGAGGGACTTCAGTCTGTGGGTGGTGGTTGTCGTCAGCCAGTGCGTTACATTGTTAGGCCTGCCTGTCCGTTCCGCGGCTGCTGCCCTGACAATATAACACATAAATGAACACTCAAAGTGATTCAGTAGCGCAAGATTTCTAAGTGAATAAAATGTGGACATAGAAAACAACATAAGTGAAAAATAAAGTCCAAAGACAGTTCTTATCCACCAAATAATTCTTCAATTTCTTCAAAATAAATCACCACGTGTAACAAGAAACCAGTGTCCCCCCCCTTTCGGGTATACTCTCCCAATTAGTGTTGCCCCCCCACTCTCATGGTTGTCAAAAACCACTCAATGGATATCTCTCGGTAAGATAAATAATCAATTAGTATCGATCTGCTTCCTCTCCTCCAATCTCCAAAGTCGTCTTTCCCCAAAATAGCTGGCAATAATTTCATATAATCGATGGATTCCTAATATGGAGGCACTTAGGGTAGCATAGAGGAATACCTCCTCCTGAATACTCCACACTCAGGTACAGTGATCCACAACTGGTATTATATCCCCCGTGCTTACCAGCTTACATCCTGAAACCACACAGCACAATTCTTCCCTGGTCTATTCCACCGCGTTTTTTGCCAACCATGAGAGTGGGGGGCAACACTATTTAATGAGTGTATACCCAGAATGGGGGGGACACTGGTTTCTTTTTGCACATGGTGATTTATTTTGAAGAAATTGAAGAATTATTTGGTGGATAAGAACTGTCTTTGGACTTTATTTTTCACTTATTTTGTTTTTTTATGTCCATATTTTATACACTTACAATCTTGCGCTACTGAATCACTTTGAGTGTTCATTTATGTGTTATATTGCATTTTTTTGGAAGTGGCAGAATTTTTTGGAAGTGGCCAATTTTTTATTTTTTGTTTATTTCCCCAAAATAGCTGGCAATAATTTCATATAATGATGGATTCCTAATATGGAGGCACTTAGGGTAGCATAGAGGAATACCTCCTTCTCCTGAATACTCTGCACACAGGTACAGTGATCCACGACTGGTAACATATCCCCCGTGCTTACCAGCTTACATCCGGAAACCGCACAGCACAATTTTTCCCTGGTCTATTCCACCGCGTTTTTTGCCAACCATGAGAGTGGGGGGCAACACTATTTGGTGAATGTATGCCCGAAAGAGGGGGGACACTGGTTTCTTTTTACACATGGTGATTTATTTTGAGGAACTGAAGAATTATTTGGTGGATAAGAACTATCTTTGGACTTTATTTTTCACTTGTGTGTTTTTTTTATGTCCACATTTTATTCACTTATAATCTTGCGCTACTGAATCACTTTGAGTGTTCATTTATGTGTTATATTGAATTTTTTTTTTGGTAGTGGCAGCAATTTTGAATTCCTTTTGTTTATTTATTTTGTTTTATGACTTTTCACGTATTCAGCGCAGTTCTCTTTGTTTTTAATGTACTGTATAGACGTGTTACTCCTTCCTGGACTCTGGGTGTTTTCTGCCACCGCACCACCCAGCACCCACCCACACACTTGTTCTCTGCTCCTTTTTGTATTCAATGTGTAGGACTTACTATGCTATCAGTTGGTTTTATTGACTTTTATGGAAGTGTGGGGGGGTGAATATTTCATGATATATGTTGTAGTCTTGGCTGGGTAACTGAAGCTTGACCAAACTACGGACCAAAAAAAGAAACAGAATGAAAGTTTTTTATCCTCTCAATCATCCAATAATACTCCTTCGCTCGTACCCTGAGAAAATATAACAGACACAACATTTTATTCCTAACAAATTCTTACGCATCCCACAAAAATCATTTCTGTGATTGAGAAGGGTCATATAGCATTCACCAGGTGACCTCCTCATGGTGGGCAGCCATAAACCTTCTCTGGAAGTAGACAATGTCCATGGCTGAGTAGAATTACTGAGCAATAGAAGCTAATTATTTACACAGAACATTAACCCAAAAGAGATATTAATTCGCTGCTTAATCTATCGCCGATCACAGGCCCATAAAACCAGGAAGGGTGTAATTAAAGATCATGGCTCTGGAATAGCTGTAAATATAAACCTAAATGAAATCCTAAAATAAAACTAGCAAATTATTATTAATATTATTATAATACAGGATTTATATAGAGCCAACAGCGCTTTACAAAATGAAGGTGGACATTACAGTTACAATACAATTTGGTACAAGAGGACACAGTGGGCCCTGATCCTGGGAGCTTACAATCTAAGAGGAGGGGTTGAGTGATACAAAAAGTGATAGCTGTGGGGGGAGGAGCTGATGGAGGAAATAAATGGTGGTTCACTAGTTAGAAGCAGGATAAACTTCTTTAAAGAGAAAGGTTTTCAGGGATCGTCTAAAGGTGGATAGACTAGGAGACAGCCGACAGATTGGGGTAGAGAGTTCCGTAGGATGGGAGAAGCTCGGGAGAAGTCCTGGAGGCGAGCATGGGAAGAGGTGACACGGGAACTAGAGAGCAGAAGGTCTGGGAAGATCGAAGAGAGCGGTTTAGTTGATATTTTGAGACCAGGTTGGTGATGCAGCTGGGGGGGAGTTGTGGATGGCTTTGTAAGTTGTTGCTAGTATTTTGAATTTTATTTGTTGAGTGAGTGGAAGTCAGTAGAGAGGGATTGGCAGAGAGGGGTGGAGGACACTGAGTGGAGGTTAGTGGAGGGATTGGCAGAGAGGGGTGGAGGACACTGAGTGGAGGCCAGTGGAGGGTCTGGCAGAGAGGGGTGAAGGACACTGAGTGGAGGTCAGTGGAGGGATTGGCAGAGAGGGGTGGAGGACACTGAGTGGAGGTTAGTGGAGGGATTGGCAGAGAGGGGTGGAGGACACTGAGTGGAGGCCAGTGGAGGGTCTGGCAGAGAGGGGTGGAGGACACTGAGTGGAGGTCAGTGGAGGGATTGGCAGAGAGGGGTGGAGGACACTGAGTGGATGCCAGTGGAGGGATTGGCAGAGAGGGGTGGAGGACACTGAGTGGATGCCAGTGGAGGATTGGCAGAGAGGGGTGGAGGACACTGAGTGGAGGTCAGTGGAGGGATTGGCAGAGAGGGGTGGAGGACACTGAGTGGAGGTCAGTGGAGGGACAGGCAGAGAGGGGTGGAGGACACTGAGTGGATGCCAGTGGAGGTATTGCAGAGAGGGGTGGAGGACACTGAGTGGAGGTCAGTGGAGGGATTGGCAGAGAGGGGTGGAGGACACTGAGTGGAGGCCAGTGGATGGATTGGCAGAGAGGGGTGGAGGACACTGAGTGGATGTCAGTGGAGGGATTGGCAGAGAGGGGTGGAGGACACTGAATGGAGGTCAGTGGAGGGATTGGCAGAGAGGGGTGGAGGACACTGAGTGGAGGGCAGTGGAGGTATTGACAGAGAGGGGTGGAGGACACTGAGTGGAGGTCAGTGGAGGGATTGGCAGAGAGGGGTGGAGGACACTGAGTGGAGGCCAGTGGAGGGACTGGCAGAGAGGGGTGGAGGACACTGAGTGGAGGTCAGTGGAGGGATTGGCAGAGAGGGGTGGAGGACACTGATTGAATGCCAGTGGAGGGATTGGCAGAGAGGGGTTGAGGACACTGAGTGGATGCCAGTGGAGGGATTGGCAGAGAGAGGTGGAGGACACTGAGTGGATGCCAGTGGAGGGATTGGCAGAGAGAGGGTGGAGGACACTGAGTGGATGCCAGTGGAGGGATTGGCAGAGAGGGGTGGAGGACACTGAATGGATAGAGTGGAGGGATAATTGTAGCAGAGAGGGGTGGAGGACCTGAGTGGGTGCCAGTGGAAGGATTGGCAGAGATGTTTTGGAGGACACGATTTCCTGAGGATGAGCCTGGCATGGTTTGGACAGGGATTAGATGTGGGCCTGAAAGGATAGATAGATAATTGTAGAAGTCCAAAACGTGAGCAGTCCTTAGAATGAAAAGTTTTCCATTGAGATGTTTTGAAAATTATTATTTTTCCTGAGGCTGAGTCCTCACACACACGGGACATTTTTACAGCGGCTGTTTTTGGTTTTTGAAGTTTTTTTTCTACAGCCAGGCATATTCTCCTATGTGTCCATCCCCGGCATGTTCTCCTATGTGTCCATCCCCGGCATGTTCTCCTATGTGTCCATCCCCGGCATGTTATCCTATGTGTCCATCCTATGTGTCCATCGCCGCCGCAAATTTCTCCTATGTGTCCATATTCTCCTATGTGTCCATCCCCGCCATGTTATCCTATGTGTCCATCCCCAGCATGTTTCACCTATATGTCCATCCCCGGCATGTTCTCCTATGTGTCCATCCCCGGCATGTATCCTATGTGTCCATCCCCATGCATGTTCTCCTATGTGTCCATCCCCAGCATGTTCTCCTATGTGTCCATCCCCGGCATGTTATCCTATGTGTCCATCCCGGCATGTTCTCCTATGTGTCCATCCCCTGGCATGTTCACCTATGTGTCCATCCCCGGCATGTTCTCCTGTGTGTCCATCCCCGGCATGTTCTCCTGTGTGTCCATCCCCGGCATGTTCTCCTGTGTGTCCATCCCCGGCATGTTATCCTATGTGTCCATCCCCAGCATGTTCTCCTATGTGTCCATCCCCGGCATGTTATCCTATGTGTCCATCCCCGGCATGTTCTCCTATGTGTCCATCCCGGCATGTTCTCCTATGTCCATCCCCGGCATGTTTCTCCTGTGTCCATCCCCAGCATGTTCTCCTATGTGTCTATCCCCGGCATGTTCTCCTATGTGTCCATCCCCGGCATGTTCTCCTATGTGTCCATTCCCCGGCATGTTCATCCTATGTGTCCATCCCCGGCATGTCTCCTATGTGTCCATCCCCGGCATGTTCTCCTATGTGTCCATCCCCGGCATGTTCTCCTATGTGTCCATCCCCGGCATGTTCTCCTATGTGTCCATCCCTGGCATGTTCTCCTGTGTGTCCATCCCCGGCATGTTCTCCTATGTGTCTATCCCCAGCATGTTATCCTATGTGTCCATCCCCGGCATGTTCTCCTATGTGTCCATCTCCGGCATGTTATCCTATGTGTCCATCCCCGGCATGTTATCCTATGTGTCCATCCCCGGCATGTTCTCCTATGTGTCCATCTCCGGCATGTTATCCTATGTGTCCATACACACACAGACTGGAATCAATGTTTTTTGGCTGAAAAAAAAAAACAGGACTAGTGGGTGTCCAGAAGAGCTTTTTAGCTGTAAAAACGCTCTCTAATGCTAAAAAACACAGTAAAACGTGGTAAAATGCCACAAACCGGTGTTTTTGGACTTTAGAGAGACATCCACATGGGAATTAGAGAATTGGAATTTGATTATTATTATTATTATTATTATACAGGATTTATAGAGTGCCATCAGATTGCTCGGCACTTTAAAAATATATACTGTAAAGGGAGACAGTTCAGCTTTCAATACAATTCAAGAAAAGAGGGCTCATGAGAGCTTATAGCCGTGGCCAAAAGTTTTGAGAATGACACAAAAAATTAATGTTCACAAAACCTGCTGCTTCGGTGTTTTTAGATCTTTTTGTCAGATGTTACTATGCTATACTAAAGTACTGGGTTGCTGTTAGAAACCACGGGACCCCATACAGCCAACCTGACAGGGTCCCCCTTCCCAAAAAAAAACACAGTTTACTATGCTTCAGTTATGAATGTACACAGTTAGTGATTGGTAGCGATCACTCATTGTGTTCATTCGGGAAAGGAAACGTATCTAACGTGCCCTTCCCCCACTCTCCATCCTGAAGGATCCTATTGTGTGCTTGCAGCTGCTGCTGAAAGTAGAGGAAGGAAGCTGGCAGCACTGTGGGAGCACATAGGGAGGCCTGGGCAGCAGGGGAAAATGTATGGTGCACAGGGAGGGTGATGGGTGCAGTGGGAAGAGGGGAGAGCAATTGCTGGAACTGATCCCCTATATGGCTCTCTCTGCAGCAGCTGAAAGCCAGTGGGAGGGAGAGGAGAAGAAGCCAACTTTCAGCCGTTCAGTCCTACAGGGGATCAGTTCCAGTAGTTACCCCCCTCCCACCATACCAATCTCCCTCCCTGCCCACATCCAATTCACCCAGCTGCCTGGGCCCCCCTGGTGGCCTGGGCCCCATACACGAGGACTGATGGTACCCCCTTATCCATGGCCCTGCTAAAGTATAAAAACTGTAGCTGCCAACTTTTAACATACAGCCACTCACCTGTCCCTCGGTTCAGCAGTGTCCTCACCACCGCTGGTTTCACCGGCCGTCTTCTCTCCCTGGCGCCGGCATCTTTAGTGAGGGCACCCGGCTGTGACAGCTTCACAGCTGGGTGCCCACTGAGCATGTGCGAGAAGCGCTGCACTTTGTGAATGGCCTCGTGGTCTTCTGGGACCTGTAACGTGTACCAGAAGTCTATGGGGAGGAAGGGGGGGGGGGGACAACTTCTGCTTCAGTGGAAGCGGGTATCCGTCAAATTTGGGTACCCGTTCCCCCCCCCACTCCCCAAAGGTGCCAATCCTTAATGGGAAGCGGGGGACAAAGACTTAAAGCGGAACTTCCCCTTTTGGGTGGAACTCCGCTTTAAGTGACCCGTCTTTTTCAAGACCTCTGCGATTCCCCCTAAAATGCTATCAATCAACTTCTGGGCCACCTCTTGACTGATGGCAGCCCATTCTTGCCTAGTCAATGCTTAGAGGTTGTCAGAATTTGTTGGGTTTTTTTGTTCACCTGCCTCTTGAGGATTGACCACAAGTTCTCAATGGGTTTAAGTTCTGGGGAGTTTCCTGGCCATGGACCCAACATTTCAATGTTTTGTTCCCCAAGACACTTAGTTATCACTTTTGCTCTATGGCAACGTGCTCCATCATGCTGGAAAAGGCATTGTTCCTCACCAAATTGTTCTTGGATGGTTGGGAGAGAAGTTGCTGTCGGAGGATCTTTTTGGATCATTCTTAACTACTTCAAGTCCGGACACTTTCAAGTCCGGGACACTTCCCCCCCCCCTTTCCAGTCCCCCCCCTTCCAGTCCGGACACTTTTTTCCGGACACCCCCCCCTTCCAGTCCGGACATTTTCCCCCCCCTTCCAGTCCGGACACTTTCCCCCCCCTTCCAGTCCGGTCCAGTCCGGACACTTTCACCCCCCTTCCACACACTCTTTTCCCCCCCCTTCCAGTTTTCCCCCCCTTCCAGTCCGGACACTTTCCCCCCCTTCCAGTCCGGACACTTTTTCCAGTCCGGACCCCCCCCCCCCCCTTCCTCTCCAGGCCAATTTTCAGCTTTCAGCGCTATCACACTTTGAATGACAATTGCGCGGTCATGCAACACTGTACCCATATGAATTTTTTTAGCATTTTTGAGACAGATAAAGCTGTATTTTGGTGGTAATTATTCACCGCTGGGATTTTTATTTTTTTTTGCTATATAAATGAAAAAGTCCAAACATTTTGAAAAAAAGTGTTTTCTTATAAAATTTAGCAAATAAATAATATTTCATCATAAATCGTGGCCAAGCGTATTCAAGTTATCCTTTTAGTAAAAAAAAAGAATAACCCAAATTAGTTTTATAACCAAAAATTATAATTTTTAAACTTTTTTTTTTACATTTGAATTTTATTTTTTTATATTATTATCTATGTTTTGTTTTTTTGTTTTTTTATATACTGTCACCCTAGCAGTACAGTCACCATGGTGACACTGTACTACTTGTGGGGGGTTATGAAGATTTTTTTTTTTATATATACGGATTCCTTTTACATCCATAAAGGCTGTAAAAGCAATCATTTCTCCTCTCTGGCTGCATTCCTGCAGCCATTGAGAACTACTGTGTGAGCTGTGATTGGTCACAGCTTGTCACATGGTACAAGGCTGTTGTGAATAGCCCTGTACCATGTGACCTCTGTGATCATTCACAGATTTCACACGTAGTAAGCAATGATGTCAGAAGTGACATCTTGCTTACTACTCTTCATGTGATCACTGATTGGCCAACCAGTGATCACAGGATCGGGACCTCGCACAGAGGTCCCGTACAGCGATCGGTGTTCCACTGTGTCTGGAGGAGACAGCGGGCACCGGATCATGGTGCTGCGCGCTCCCAGGGAGAGCGCACAAGCAGGGGGCGGGGAGGCCATTTATAAACATCCACTCGCCCCTGCACTGCCACCGTCCAGCCATTTATATACAACGGCCGGATGGGAAGTGGTTTATTCATGGCTGTGTTCTTAGGCAGAATTGTGAGTGATCCCACTCCCTTGGTTGAGAAACGACCCCACACATGAATGGTCTCAGGATGCTTTACTGTTGGCATGACACAGGAGTGATGATAGTGCTCACCCTTTCTTCTCCGGACAAGGATTTTACCAAATGCCTCAAACAATCAGAAAGGGGATTCATCAGAGAAAATGACTTTACCTCAGTCCTCAGTAGAAAATCAGTCTGTTCCTGGAGAGAAGTGGCTTCTTTGTTGCTCTTCTTGACACCAGGCCATCCTCCACAAGTCTTCTCCTCACTGTGCATGCCGATGC